TCCCTTTGGCAAAAGTCTCTCCATTGGGGGAGAGGTTGTAACAACTTTAAATAATATTAAAATCTTGTAGTTTAAATAATTTAAATAGATGAACATTAAGGTATTTGTGAATGGCAATATTTGAAACCAGACTCGAGTGCCACGTGCGACTCTCGCACGAAGAACGTAATTTATTTGTAAATGTTAGTATTCTTTTTTCTTCTTGTTTGTATGTCACCATTTTTTTTAGTGTTAAATAAAAGTTATTGCTGTGTTCCATCATTGGAGTTGCTTCATTTCGTCAAAGAAGTATTACAACACTAAATAAAATACCTTGTTACTGAAGAAACGATCATTTTAGTATAAATTTGTACGATCAGCAATTTGGCTCCATTTCTGCACATTTGCTTGGCATACATCCTCAAACTGAAACATTCCTTCATAGATACATCGTTGATCTGATGCCAACCTGGCGAATCATTATTTATTATACTTTTCCTTTCATTACCGCATATTTATCAAAACATGACAACTTGAGTAATGACTCATGTAGCGATACCTAAACATTTTTTTTTATGTTAACATTTGAATAATAAAGGAGTGTGGTAACCTTTTATGTTGATAGTACACTTGGCGATGATTACAGATTTCAGTTAAATGCACTAAAAATGTTGACGAGGAAAAATTTACCAAAAATTTCTTTCCATGTGCTAAAAATAGATTTTGTTGATGATACTCATAGACCCAAAGATTACATTTAGGGCTATTTGAATTAAGAATAACTGATTTGTTATTTGCATAAACCCAGAACCAGTACCAGGGCTCGTATGGCCATCCCAAGTCACAGAATTTAGGACTCACAGAGACTGCATCAGGCGGTAAGATATCTAACGCCGGCCCTCAATACAGCTTAAGTATATGTGGGAATTGATTTAGTCAGAACTCAAGCCTGAAAGTTTTACACACAATACCTATTAACTACATATAAAAATAAGATGTGTTACAGTTCTTATGCTAGAAATGTATTTTAAGCTTAGTAAATTAACCAAGAAATCAAGTTATTGTTCTTACTGGAAGGAAAAGGATGTTCTGTAGAGACATTAGGTACTATGGAAGCAGGAAAGGTGAAAAATATGCAACACCTTCACCGGGGAATCGAACCGCGATTGGTCAATACGCGCTGAGCGTGCAGACTACTATACCACGAAGGCTCGCTAGAAGGGCGGAGGAATAACTTATATACTCCCCCCTCCTTTTAAAGGGTGACTGAAGCATGTGCAAGGAATAGACATAAGTATAATAAATAACTAAATTAATACAATTCAGGCTTAATTGTCTCAGTATGCGATAGAAGCAAGATAAAATTTAACGAAACAACTTGTCGTTAGTCACCAAGCTCATGATGCATAGCCAAATACGTATAGCGAAGGATAGCTAAATTTGACGATAACAGCCGCTAATTTTAAAGGATTTCTAATATCGCAAAACAAAGGTGCAATTTTCCAGTTAGCGGATTTAGTAAAGAAATGTGGAGAAGCGGTAATAAATGAAGATGATATAAAAGAAGTTTTCATTGTGATGACAATGCTTCTCAATCACCAATCAATTAAATGAATGGAGAAATCTGTAGTATGGTTCTAGATCCAGAAATTATCGCTACCGATAGTGACGAAGGTGACAGAGAAGTTACTGAAAACGAGAAAATTTCGATTCACAAGTTAGTCGGAATCCTCAAAACAGCAGTTATAGGACTTCAACAATGTAACTGAACAAGAAATTACACTGGTTACCATAAATTAAGGAAAAATCCCGATAACTGAAAAAGTTACATGTAGAATTTTATAAAACTTACCCACAATATACAACACACAGTAAGGTATAAAATAACATAAGAAGAAATTACCAGACAATTATGGTAGTATAGAAATTAGCACGTGTATAAAATGAACAAATCGAAGATGTCAGTTTGCTATAGTAAAAGTACCTTCAATATGGAATATAATCACTTCTAGAAGCAATAGAGCACATTCAGCGTTGCGTGATGCTTTCAATTATGCGGTCTATCAGTTCCATAGGAAGCGAGAGCCATTGCTCTTACAAAGCAGTTGCAAGCGTGGCAAGGGTCTAAGGGGGCGGATTGAGAGCAGCTAGACGTCTCCCTAAGGCATCCCGAACATGCTCGATAGGATTCAAGTCCGGGGATCGAGCTGGCCACTCATTGCGCATAATTGTTTCCTGTTGAAGATAATCATATATGATGCAAGCCCTGTGTGGTCTTGCATTGTTGTCCTGTAACAAGAAAGCATCACGTATTGCCCTGGCATATGGGCACATGTAAGCATCGAGGATGTCATCTCTATAAACATGAGCATTAACGGTTCCCCTTGGAAAAACATGGAGGTCTGTGCGTCCACCCAAAGCGATGCCACCCCAAACACAGACACTGCCTCTTCCGTATTCATCTCTTTCACAGATGTTTGACGGATGATAACAGGTTCCAGGTTCTCTCCACATCAAACAATGCCTACTATCGCTTTCTAGACTAAACCTGGACTCATCCATAAACAGAACCACCTTCCATTGACAGGCGTCCAGTGGACTTGTTGTCGTGCCCACTGAAAACGGTCCCTCCTATGGCGTGGCGTGAGCGGCACACAAATGGCTGGTCGCCTCGCATACAGATCACCTTCATGAAGCCTTCTACGTACAGTTGACGTTGACATCAACCTTCCGGTGGCTGCAGCAAGGAAGGATCTAAGAAGAGTCGGAGTAGCGGTTCTATTCCTGCGTGCACATAATGTCAAATATCGGTCATCGGTGCTCGTCGTAGCAGTTGGTCGTCTTTGGCCGAACCTCCTAGGTGCCGAATCTGTGATTTGAAATTGCCTCCAAAGTCTATGAACCCAGAAGGACTCACATTTAGCCATCTGGCCACTTCTGTTTGACTTTGTCCTGCCTCTAGTCTCCCAATGGCTTTCTATAGTAGTTCTGCAGGCAAATGATGCCTGGAGATCATTGTTACAAATTGGCTATCTCAGATTTCTGATGCCACTATCACAGTGAAATATGTGGGCTTGCTCTCAAACATCAATTTTATGCTCCTCGCAGATGACGTATTCCGAGTGCAGCGCCACTAATCTGCATATTGGAGTTTTACTCAGCTACTCTTACTTGGCAACATATTCAAATTTTACACAGTTTGGCTTATTTTTGAGGGAATTATCGCTATTTTTGTGATTTTTTCTAATTTATGATAATTAGTGTATCTCTGTCAACAGAATTAAAGAGAAAGTATTAGCACAAAAAAACGAAGCAACTTAAAACAACTTACATTGAAAGAGATGTTTAATAAGGTAAACAAATAAGTTTTAAGCTTTTATTTTGTAAATTTTGATACTCTTTAGATCATAAATACGTCATTATTTCATAGATTGCGATTTCATATTTTTAATTTTATAATTTCTACATGCCATCTTACTAGATTTAAACTGATGGTCTATTATCCGGAAAAATCCCAAATCCGGAATCGCCAAAGTCCCGACGAGTCCGGATTTCGGACTATGCACTGTATTGCTCTGATCAACAAATTGGTTAACGTAATCAAAATACTGCAGAATAGAATTTTAAGCTGAAGTAAAATTGACAAAGTTAAAATAGGGTAAAGAAATGGGCAGATGGAAGAGACATGTTACCAATTAAGGGTTTAAATCACTAAGCAGCATGGTTTTGGTTTAAGACTGCCATGTGTGAAGTAGCCCAACACATAACTTTGGAATAGATCAAAGTCTGTATGAAACTAAATTTGGTCGTACCGCTAAAGCAGGTTTAAGAATTTACTTGCCAATTGATACTTTTTGAGGAATTATAAATGAAGATCTTGCTGTGTAAAGATAATGTCTACTCTCAGATAATAATCACAGTCAATAATGAAGATATAGATTGATGAGAATAGGAAAGTTGAATGGGCGATTCAAGTGAAGATTCGGAGGTAATAACTATTGCAGCACAATCAAGAAAAGAAATAGGAGTGTTGGGCAAACAGAACAGGAAGGAACATAATGATGAAAAGGAAAAAGCAAAACATTTCAATGACATTAAAATGGAAGACTGTGAAGAAAGCAAGGAAGATTATCTTTTGCATTGGATACAGTCTCAGAAATATTCAAGAAGTTCAATGCTCTGGGTAAACTGTCACCAAATAATAATAATAATAAAAAAAAAGCACTGCTTTTAAACTTAAAATCTCAAAATACTAATGTAGTAGAAACCATTCAGATAAGAATACCAGAGGGAAATAGGGGTAAAGGTAATAGCAAGATATTGCAGGTGTTATAATTTCTTAGGAAAATGAAAATTTATATTAACTAGGTACAAAACTTACGTTAACTAAATACTATATTAGGTATAAAACACAGCATTTTAAGCTAACTTTTAACCAAGGAATCAATTTACTTTCTACAGTGAGCTTTTATTTTAGTCAATAAAGTTCCAGATATTAAAACAAGTCTAAGCGAATGTGCCCGTAAGAATTCTAATTCAGATGGTCATTTCAACACTGCAATTGTACAAACAACTATAAGTTAAATTGATAAAATGTAAACATTCAAACACATTTTCTAATAAAACATGCTTTTACACAGACCCCCCTTTTTTTTTTAAAATAAAACTGCTAATGTATGTAATTACATGTACTTTATAACTGACATTAAAATTATACTAGAATTTGGGATTTATACCTATCAAGCTTAATTAATTACACTGACCAAATTCTATTGGTGATTATTAATATTTACTGTTAAGTGCTGATTATTTTACATTATTTATCACATTAACTAAAAGACATTATTATTACCAATAGCCTGTTATTATTAGTACTAAATGGATTTTTTGCTTTGACTGTAATATATATATATATATCATGCAGTTTTGATAAGCACATTGTATAAAAGTAATCAACTCAAATAAAGAAATAATGTTGAATGGAATGTTAATTACAGCCTTCACTGAAGAATGCAACTTACGTGTCACCATCTTTGTCTTGGCTGAAAACATCTTGCCACAGAAGTTTTGTGCTTTTTTGGGGAGAGTCCCCACTAAAAACTTGACAGGAATCAAATGAATAGCAATCTGAACTTAATGGCGAGAAAGCATCTGTATTAGCATCTGTTATGAAACCACTATCACATGTATTTTGCTCAGATTTTGAAGGCTGCAAACCAGATTCAGATGGTGTAAGGCTTGATATGTTTTCACTGGTTGAAGAAAGTGTGCTACTTATTTCTCCGGATTTATAACCACAATCTGAAACAGAATCAAATGTCATAGATATGCAGCTATCAGTTTCTGAGCTTAGAATTTTGGCCATAACTTTTCTTTTGTCTTCTGCTGATAATTCACATACTATTTCTTCTTTTCTTGTTTTCTGCTTTTGTTCCATTTTTAGTCTTTTTTGGATAAAAGATTCTGGAGGGAAAAAAAAAATCTTATAAGTATAAAAATACATTAAACAAAAAGTACAATTAATATTTTATGAACAGCTGAAAATATTTTATTGATTGTATATCAAGAAATAAAAAAGATCTAACTACTCCAAATCATTACCACAACCACATTTCTTATTCAATGAAACTCATAAAATTTTCTTTGATATATATGTAATAATTCAGTAGATGATTTCTATTAATTGTAATAAATTTAGGATGCTCGGGAGGGATGACTCCAATTATTTTTTAATTATGGCAGAGATAGTTATACATGTGGCTGACATACAGAAAGAATGTGTAGCAAAAGAAACTTGCAGACACTGATGTAGATAACAAGACAAAATTTGTCTTGATAAACAATTCTGAGGAGGATTTTCACATCACTGTGGCACCCAACAATAACATATCCAACCACATAAGCACCCAACAATTTTTCACAGCATATGGCATTTTTTTCAGGATACATGGAAAAAAGGATGAAGGAAAAAGACGGCAAAAGGATGAAGCGGAGCAGCAAAGCAATACACCGTAGCACCAGCAAAGTGGGAAAAAATACTGCAAGATAATCACAGTGGTGCTTATAAACTTAATTTTTTTGTTTAAAGGAAGTGGGAAAAAATACTGCGAGATAGTCACATTTATGTTTATAAACTTGATTTCATTGTTTAAATTCTGGATTTGCAATTGGATATGAGCTGTCGCAATGTTGGAGGTTTATGTAAGCAAGCATGAAGTGAAAAGACACAGTCCATAAAAATTATTATAGACAATTTAGGACAGAAAGAAGAGGTAGCCAAATAAAAATGGAGAATACAAAGGACTATTGCTCAAATTAAAGTTAATAGTTGCGAGTTACATAATTTACATCTTATACGAACACACACACATATATATATTGCTACGGATTTTGTATTATATATAAATAACTTAAGTGAAATAAAACATAAAATTGTAGAATCTCTTGTGGAAGGTAACATGAAAAATCTCTTGTCAAAACTGGCAATGGTTTTGGCGTTAGTTTTTGTCACCAAACTTAGCAAGAAATTGCCAAATGTCGCCAAAACTGTTGACATTTTAGTCTGAAACCAGTGTAAATATAACTGGTCCTACCACATGTAACTGTAACCGTATCCAGTTGTACATAATTGTAAATGTGCATACTTTCCAGCAGTTTCAAAAAAATACATTAGAGAAATTTCTCTGCATTTGGGAAAAACTATACATGATTTGTAAGCTACTGCCAAGCTGGCGAATATTTTGGTGACCGCTTGTGATGATCTGGCTCGATCCCTGTGTGACTGTAACTGGTCTGATCCCCATACGTAATCCTAACTGTATATGCTTTCCAGCAATTTTGAGAAATCAAAGGTACTGGAAATTTCTTGTCTGCTGAGGAAAAATTACGTAAGATCAGAGAAAGCATCAGTCCTCAGTTTTTAGTTTAGAATTGAGTACTGAATACTGAAAGATGTCTGGACGAGCTTCACTGTTTAGATGCATTTTGCACTACACCGCGTGTAATTAATCTTAGCAGTTTGAAGGGGTAACTACTGATTATACTCTGTCATAACGAGAAAAGCTGTAAGAGTACTTCTGTGAAAAGTTTCAAAACTGTAAAGTGTTTTTTTTTTTTTTTTTTTTTTTTTTGTGGGGAATAAATTTTATCAAGCTATCCTTGGTTCTTTGTGTATTTAATCCATTAAGAACCCGTATGTATGTGGTGATGGTTTATTTGACAAGATTCCAAGTTTGTCAGAAGGTTCATTAGAAGAAGGTCTAACTTTAAAATTAAAATGTAAAACACAAAACTAAACACATGATGATAAGCCAACATCAAATGTTGATCACGAACAAGCAGGAACAAGTATAGGCGTAAGTATAGGCGTAACAGAATCTCTCGGCTAAAAGTTCAAGTCATTATACTCATACTACAACGTGTGCACACGGGTACAATGCAGCAAACACGGATACTGCATGCAAATGTCAAAAATGCAAATATTCTCGTCGGACTGCAAATATCCTGCCACAGTACTCCTCACACGTGCCAAAGGCAAGAGAGGTCAGAGATACCCAAGGTTAAACTTAACTTTCTGCCGGAAGGAGTAGTCTGCACTGGAGATATAGTACCAATTAGTTTTATTGTAGGAGTCTGCTCAGGAATAGGAACCGATAATAACAGTATCTAAACTAAATATTTCAAGTGATCTATGCTGATCACAGATTCTTTTCCTCTAATAAGAAGGGTAAAATTTATATTAGCTCTTCTTGGTACTTCAAATGTTCCATTATACGGGCGAGTCTATGGTGATCTTACGGGTGCATGAAGCACTTCGCCACACATATACTACATTTTTGGTGTCATAAGTGGGACTGAATACCGGTGACAAGAGCCATGGAGGAGCAACTAACACAGTTTTTGCTACATTCCAAGAAAAATGATAGTGAGCTGTCAACATCTTTAAAGAGGAGGTGAAAGCAGAATAGAAAAAGATGGAATGGGCAGTCAAGTCAGTTCAAGAACACATCAAAACGGGCCATGAAAAGAGAGAAGCAAGTAAAGAGAAAATAAAATGAGAAATTACAGCCATCATAGAAAACAAATTCGAGGTTATTAAAGGCAGAATAGACAAGGTAGAAAATAAAGTTACAGAAAATGAAAAAACTGTTTCTGCAACCCCAACAACAAATCAGAGAAAGAGTTTCTGCTGTCACATTGACAGCTTGAGAAAACGCATAGTTACAGCTGGACACAATTTTGATGCCTTTAAATTCATACCTAACGCCCTCCCGACTCTTCTAAAGCTAGCCATGTATGATCGAAAGACATCCTGGCAAGTGTGCAAAACTTCATTCTCTATAGTAGCAAATATAAAAGATGGCACTCTGAAGTTAAGCTTGCGCTCCTCTGAGAGCAGATGCATCAGATATCCGTTCAAACCTTGTCCAAAGTTTTGCTTGTGGTTTTGAAGCTGTATCCAATAAGTTGAAGTGTTTCGGTTAGAAACGTTGAACAGAATGTAGCAGGCCTAAGCTAAAATCTCGTCTCTTCGTCCATGAAAATATTTCAGGAGCTTGTCATGGATGTTAAAAGACTGCCTCATCTTGCCGTCTTGCGTATTCAAGAGTCCTGGCTAGGGCATTGCTCATTTTTCACATACTCTTGCTTCAAAAATACCTAATGTCTCTACAAAGTAAATGACTATTTTGGCAAATGCCAAGCTGGCAATGAATTTAGCAACTACCTTTTTGATAACAAATTTGGTTATTGCAAACTTTGTGACCATTTGCAACATTTTGGTCCAATCCCTATGTAACTATAACTAGTCCATCACTATGTAACTGTAACTGTGTATACTTCCTAGCAATTTTGAGAAACCAAAGGAATTTTCTTGATGCCTGGGGAAAAACTATTTAAAACCAAAGAGAGCACCAGTTCTCAGTTTTTAGTTCAGAGTTGGGTTCGAAGCATTGACAGATATCCATGCGAGCTTTGCTCTTTAGTCACTTAGCGTTGCATTGTGCTTAATATTGGTAACTATTGATTGTGCTCTGTCATACTGAGAAGAGCCGTACGAGTACTTTTGCAAAAAGTTCATCAACTGGAAAATGTTTCGGTTGATCTTTACAATATGGTAACTGGTAGTTTGGCGACATTTTGGAGGCGATAAAGGTTACTACCTGGCACTTTGGTAATAATGTGAATAGTACTCAGTTTCGATTACGCATTATTTTGTATGAGGGAAATGAGAGATCATGGGATATGTCATGTGATATTAATGGACGAATTACGGTTCTTTAATCGGAAAAGGGGGGAAATCGGGAAAAAATCTGGAAATTTTGTATTTGGCTTTATTCCGTGTTGTGTGAAACAGTGTTCGTGAATTTTTGGATCCCATGGCCGTAACTAAAGTGAATTCGAAATGGGTATTTATGTATGTATTAATTTAATGTATGTGCTCATTTATATTTGAAGTAGTGTTTTTGAATTTAATTATATTTTAATTAAATGATAGTTATTTTGTGAATTTTATGTTTGTAGGAATTTGGTATACGTTTTAGTTGAAGTAAACGTGCATGGAAATAATTTAAATATCTGACAATAAGTATTTGTAATGGTTGCGGTATGAATTCGTTGGTGACGTGTATAATGTAATAGATGATTTAGAGGTAAACGTTTTTGGATATTTTATTTATTTTATATGTGGAAATGTTCATTACGTTTTCGCGATCAGGTAATTTCATATACGTTCTTTTTACCGGGTTTAAAGATTGAGAAAATTGTCATGTATTTTCGTGAAATTTTTCTAATTTATGAGAAAAAAGCAGTGTACCTGGATTAGTGAAGAGTGTGCGCAATGCCATTTTTGTGCAATTCTGGGATTTTTTTTAAGTAAAAAATAAATCGGCGTGTACATGGTTTAGTGATATTTTAATTAAATGATAGTTTATTTGTGAATTTTATGTTTGTAGGAATTTGGTATAACGTTTAAGTTGAAGTAAACGTGCATGGAAATAATTTAAATATCTGACAATAAGTATTTGTAATGCTTGCGGTATGAATTCGTTGGTGACGTGTATAATGTAATAGATGATTTAGAGGTGGTAAAGTTTTTGGATATTTTATTTATTTATATGTGGAAATGTTCATATTTGGAAAGGGTAAATACTTTTTCGCGATCAGGTAATTTCATATATGTTCTTTTTACCGGGTTTAAAGATTGAGAAAATTGTCATGTATTTATTTCTCGTGAAATTTTTCTAATTTATGAGAAAAAAAGCAGTGTACATGGATATAGTGAAGAGTGTGCGCAATGCCATTTTTGTGCCAATTCTGGGATGTTTTTTAAGTAAAAATAAGTCGGCGTGTAAATGGTTTATGTGTATGTGTTATTTTGAAAAACGCGTAAGGAGTATGGTATTGTGCACTTTTTCCCAATTTTGCAGTGAATATTTGTCATGATTAAGCAGTTTTGTTAGATA